GTTTTATTATTGTTAACGTTAAAAAAGTCTTTTCTTTTGTCCTAAAGTGTAAAAATAATAATAAATGTTAAAATTCACTGTACACTTTTAGCTTCATAATGTCACCACCAGAGGCCATTTTAACTACCCTTCAACAAACTGGAAGTGGCCCACAGACCACCAGTTGAAAATCACAGTCTCCAGATGCATTTTATTAGTGAACCAGGGGCAGAAACGGCTCTTTTGATTGTAAAGATTGCAGACCCCTGACTTAGGGCATCTATTCAGTTCAAGCTGGCCACCACAGAATGCTGTAGAAGATCAACACATTGTGCAATATTTTTACTTAAAACTCAAAAAGTCTTTCCTTCTTTTGAAGAGTAGCTTCTAACGTAAATTATGTTTTAGTTTTTTTTTGTGACGTGTGGCACAAGAAGTCCAGCACTTAGTTTTTGACTTAATCAAAGCAAATTCCATTAAAAAGGCCGTTTTTCTTTTTCAGTCCCCCGTGTCCTGCCAGAGACAGAGCTGAGACCTCCTGCTTTCAGAAACACTGGTCTAAAAAAAGACTTTAATTATRGAATTTCCTCACATCGTTCAGACGAGTACTGGAAGTACTTTTGAAAGTTTCCAGAGGTAGGAGTACCAAACACCTGTCAGATTCACTAACATTTMTCATGATACACCTTTGCTGAGCTTCGCTCCTGGTTTATCTGAGCTCAGAAGAAAAAAAATTATATATTTTACCTTTTTACTGTCAGCGGAGCCTCGATCAGGTGTCCACCACATCTTCACGCCCAAAGAACTCGTACCGGTATGACCTCTCCTCGCTGCCGCATCTGTGTTTCAAGGCAAAACAAATGCATCTCTTACAAAACATGTTCTCTCTCTCTCTCTTATTAATAAACACACACCTCCAGTGATGCTCAGAAACTGTTGACACTGTCAATAATTGAGATTGCCTCCAGAGAGGAGGAGGAAAAAAAAAGAAAGGGAAAGAAAACATGGTCAAGCACCACCCCAGAGTCACTTCTTCAGGAGGCTTGACTGGTGACTGATCCTCTATCGCCGCCCTGTCTGCGTGCCTGGCTGTGTTTTCCGYCTGCTGCTGTTACCTTGGCGACAGGTTCTCACTTTGGGATGACCCCCCCCACACACACACACACCCATCACTGCACAGGTGGCACTGGTGTTTTCTGGTAAAATGAGTCACAACTTGCACCACGTTGTGAGCACGATTACCTCTGGAAACTACAAATACATAAATATACGGATGACTGTCGTGATTAACTTTCTCTTTGCTTTTACTGTTATTCACCTGCTGCCATCACTATATTTACACAAATCCCTCTGATGCTTCTAATCCCTTTTTAAGTGTGTAAAAAAGAAAAAAAAAAACACGCAGAAACTTGACGTGCAGGATCCGAATCCTCATCCTCATCTCATTAACATCATTTCATGTTTGCTAAATGAAGGCAGAAGTAAGAAACTGTCTTTGACAAGACCTTGAGTTTGATTGAAGCCTCTTCTGTGCGGCTTTTCAACAAGAAACTGGAAAAAGGAAAGCTAAAAATAAGGGATTTGCAGGCTGCAGTGAAACAATCAGTTCTTAATGATACAGATCCAGCTTGAAAATGGTTTATTACAGCATCGTGTCGTGACTTTGCAAATGGGGCGCCAAGTGTGAAATAAAATGTCCAAAAAATGTCACTAAAACTTTTTCCTTATTTARCTCGCTTCCTGAGTTAAAAAAAACTTCCACAAACTTTTTTATTGTTAATCAGCTCACTGTTCCTACATTTTGCTAATTTTTACTAAATGTTATATTTAAATATTAATTTCTAAATATAAACATGTAAATAAAYGTAATGTTATAACGAAATGTTGAAGTTTACATTTAAGAATTTCAGAATGGAATGCAGCCTTTGCCAYTGGTGCTCAGCTTTATATGACATCATCATCTTGAGACAAAAGAAACCGCTAATGMTGCTAACGCTGCTAATGCTGCTAACACTTCCCCACAAAAGCATCGAACTTGCAGTGGCAGCCGGTGTCCGAGCTGCACTTCAAACTGCCGGACCACAGCTACCATCCGTATTGCTTTCACTGAACACGCCGGCTGTGTCTCAATTCAGGGGTGGCAGTCAACGTCGGCCGCATTTTTCGCCCACTCGTGCGACCGAGAAATGCGGCCGACAAAACTCAGGAAATGTAGGCTGCATCTGAGTATCCTCCGCGGCGGATGGTATCCAAGAATTCATTGCGCCATCAGAAAATTAAACAGAAAAACAAAGACGAGTAGTTTTGAAAAATTATTTTTTACGATGGAGCTTGGAAATTTATCACAGATCTACAAATGGAAGTTAATCAACTTAGTTGAGGAAACTTTTGTTGCAATGAGATGTTAAATAAAATACAAGTGATACTGGAGCTAAACCCAGTTTATTAATGCTTTTAATTTATTCATATGTAACGTTTTTCTATAAAAGCTGAATTTTGTGGAGTGCAAGTGTGCTGTTGTTGAAAAACCAAKTGAGGCAATGTGATGTAAAACGCATCACCATGTTAACGAGGCAGCGTGTGATCACGCGTGGTCACGCAGCATCTTCTGTAGACTAGACCGTCTCATTTCACAGCTGTTTATGCAGCAGATACGGCCCACAGACTGTGGCCAACATCGGCCTCGGTCTAAGTCAGTTTGCAACCCATGAATTGAGACACAGCCATTTTGAATCTAAATTTTAGGTGTCATCTGCGGCTGCCCGATCCGTACCGGAAGCATGATCCATACTCTCCCGGAAACATTGTTTTTAGCGTGTAACATTTTGTTAAACTGATGACAGAATGAATTCAATTTCAGTCTTTCATCATCTGCTATGTTTCATAGAAAAGGCAACGTTTGCCACAGCTGTGGATTTTTATTCCAGGAAAAAAAATAAAATGAAGATAAGATGAGTTATAACATGATTGTCTAGAAAATAGTTAGCGAGTTATTATAAATAAATACGTACGCATCGTAAATCTATGTTTTATTAATCAAAATGTATACAATATTTAAACTGTTTTCAGAATATAATGTAACACACCTTTACACTTATGTATAAAAATTAATGGTTTCAGTCTTTTTAGCGCAAATGAGCTGACAGTACGGATCGTGCTATCGGGACGAGTCGGGCATGCAGCCACACCACCTTCAGCTTAGAGGTTGCTTTTGTCGCAGGATGATGACATCACAATAAAAGCCGCACAATGGCAAGAGCTGCGTTCCATTCTGGAAATTTTAAAGTAAGCTTTATTATATTAATATTTACACAATTATATTTAGGATTTAACATATGTTATTTAACATAAAAATTTCACATTTAGTAAAAATTGGCAAAATATAAGGGCATTGGGCAATTTAAGCATAATTTTACACTCTTGACTGTAAATTTTTTTATTAAACTATGATATTTGTACATAAAATACAATTTAGTTTAATATTAAATATAGTAGCTGCCTACAAGCTGGCACGTTTGTGTGTTTATCTCTCAGCCCATCTATACATGAAGCTTTTAATCAGCCATGTTCTCAGTGCTCTATAGATGGATGGGGATTAGCACGAGTTCTGTGAGGATAATCTACGTATAAACAAGGACAAGGTTGAAGGATCAAGTTTCAGATCAAACCCAGAGAGTTCAGAGATTTACAAGACTCCTTCTCTGATCAGTCTGCATCTGTGCTTATCGGTCTGCCACTTGCCTCCATCCCCATCCTGCCAACAGTTCAAGCCTAACGGTGTTCATTTATTTCACCAGGGTGCTGCCAGAGACCCACGTCACAGTAGTCGGAACCAGTGTATAATGGAGTTCTTGTGGGGGGAGGGAGTGTTGTTTAATATGATCAGGCAATCAGTCAATGAGGAAGGAGGACAGGGACAACGCCACCGGAAAGKAGCTGATTAGAAGCAGGTGAAACGTGTGACAGGTTGACCCTGAAATAAGTTCTTGTTGTCCCTCCGTCAGGTCCAGAGCCTGCAGGTGTGCTGTTGTTACAGCACCCATCAAGATTTAAACATCAACTGAAACCAAAGCCTTTTGGGGCAATTTCTGCTGCAAAAAAACTAAAGTATTTGCTGTTTATTACCCACTGCCAAAAGGCACAAGCAGATGAACATGTTTTAGTTTGTGTCAACGTGTTTATGTGTCTGTTAGCAAAATATCCACACGTCATTGGGCTGATTTTAATTAAACTTGCAGGAAATAATCGTTAGCTAACCCTTCACTTTGGACTGAGCCCTGTTCAAGTTGGCCACCACAGCCAACTGACCTTATAAAACACAAAACTGGGTGTAATTCAGTAAATTTTACACATACCCTGAATTTGAGGTGTTTCCTTGTTCCTTTTAAAGGTTGGAGTGATGGGTTCTTTCAGTTTCACCTGAAAAGATGAAGAAAAAAAAAACAGCTTTTAAAAAGGTATGTTTGCACCGAGCCAATATTACATTTCTGGTATAAAAGGTCAAGTTCTGAAGCGATAAAGGTGTAACTTTGCAGTTTTGAATGAAGCTCAAACGCTGAGTCAGCGTTCACAATATTGCTTTCCTCTTTAGCTTCTTCAGTTGTTTTTTTGTAAACAAACTACTTTGTGCTTTTTAACCATTTATATCAAAACATTCAGCTTAATAACGGTGTGCCACGGCTTTTGGTCTTTGTAACTTTTATACATTTCAGAATGTTTAACTTTATTTAAAATAAAAATTACTATTCAAATCCTTCGAAACGTATATAAAATCTGCTACAGCTTCTGCTGTTTTGTATTTTTGTCTTCTTATCCTGCTTCTTTGAGCTGTTTTGTTACTGTTCTGCTCATTTTAGCTTTTTATATGCTGTTCTGCTGTGTTTAGCCTCAGCTGTGTTGAGTGAGAAATCCAGGGGTGAGTGCAGACATGCTTTGTGCATCATAACAACAAATCGATTGCTATTAAGCATTGTTATTACTATCTAATTCCATTGAATTGTTTTTGTACATTGTCTTGCATCCTCTCAGGGCACAAAGCTCAGCCTCCGCTTTTACAGCTCTAAATTAGTGGTAAAGCTTTGGAGAATGCACAAAGATCCTGCAGAGTAGGCTGTTTTCTAAAGACGCTGGAGCTCTGCCTCCTTCYGTGGTAACTGATGCCCGACTACAAGTGGCTCTCTCTGGCACTGTGTGCTTTTTTTCCCCCTTTACTACCCTTTTCCACCAACATCTTGGATACACGACTCTGAACTTTTCGAGCTGCAGAGCTCACTTTGTCCCTCTGACGTGTGGGAATCAGAGTCACAACCTGAAGGGAGGTAAGTTACAAGATAAATCAACTCCAAGACTCAGAAGTTGTAACTCTTTGTAACCCTGAAGACTTTTTCTATCCTCCAGAACTCACTGAACCCATATTAAAAAAAAAAAAAACAGCATGACCTCCTAAAGGTTTTTGTTTCTTACTTGTCCAGCAGAATTATCCAGACCCTTTTGGCTGCAAGCGTTTGCCACCATCATCACTCTCCTCTGAATTGGCAGCCACCCAATCTTGACTGGAGCCAGATAACTGAGTTGAGCTTGCTCCTTCTTGGGGGGCCGCATGATATGAGCTCTTTCCCAGCTTCCCCTGCGCTCTGAGGGGGGCAGAAACCCAGCCTGGAGGGAGTCCTGGCTGCTCGGCGAGCTCTCGCACACGCTCCGGCTCCCACACGAGGACGAGCCCGTGCTGAAGGACGGGTAGCTCGACCGTCTGCAGGCCGGCTCCCTGTCATGACCCGTAAAAGATGGATTACCAGGCGGGGGTCCGGCCTGGCTCTGCAGGTGCTCCAGCCAGGCGTCCAGATGGCCTCCTTCGATGGCGCTCTGGGGTCGAGGTGACGGGTGGGAGACTCGAGGCAAAGACATCTCTCCCCAGTAGATCTCATCTCCTGATCTCCTCCAGCCTGGAGCTCTCCGTTGGTGGGCTGCTGGCCGGCGGAGAGCCATCCTTCTTGATCTCAAGTTTCAGCCCCTTCTATTAGAAATATTAACAAGAATCAGCTTGATTAATTGGACACATTTCTGCGAAGCAACCCATAAATCATGGGGGGAGATTGGATACATGAAGGAGGTCATCTTGCTTGACTAAAGAATTAGTGCGAAATGTTATAGATCACAAGATATGGCACACTTTTGCAGTACTTACATTTAGTTGCAAACCATCCTTTTCTTCTTGACTCCAGCCCTTCCCTGGGTGTAAACTCTCTCTGTCTTGGTATAAAGTAGGTGCTGGTGGGTACTGTCTCCAGTCAGGCATGTAGCAATGTGAGGGATGCTTTGGCAAACAAAAGAGTTACTGAGGACAACAGCTGAGTTTCCAATACGAGAGGGGAGGACAAGAATTGTCTAAGGGGTTGGGCAAGCTGGAAAATGAAAAAAATACATATACTTGATGATCCGTTTTTTTAACGTAAAAAGATTTTTACTTGAATGCAACATTCAGCCTTTAATCACAACACTCCTATTTCCATTAACAGTGACAATCCCCGCAAATAGAGCCGAAACCCTAATGAGCAGATTATCCATCTTTTTTCATGACTCACTTTTCCATGTTTTTGAAATCCTTTCCGCTGACTTCCCTTCTGTTCCTTCTCCCGCCTCTGATCTCGTGGTTGCTTGTTGTTGATAAGCCTGGCTGTCCTCGAGCCGCTCTGCGAGCCGTGTGACTGCAGCAAGACCGTCTTAAAAAATGGGCCAGTGTCCTCAAGGATAAGTAACTGTGACCCACATGATGTCCCACGATGGAGGAGTTTWTTACAAGGCAGACAAATTAGCCTCAAGCTTTTTTTTTTTGAGGGGGTTGGGGTCAGATTTTATTTAATGACAGTTAAATAAGGATCAGCAAGTTCTTTTTTCTTCAGAAACAAGTCATTGTTTTATTAAAGTGAACAGATTGTGTGTCAAATTGGTTTTGGTGTGACTTAAAGGAGAATACCATTTTATAATTAAAATGTATCTCAGCTACTACCACATCCCATTTTAGCTCAATTTCTGCAAAATTAGCTACGTTATCACTATTTTTATGTTTTCAACAGTCAGTTGATTGCCATATTGACTTGAGTTAACTCTTAATGACTTGTAGCTGTGTACATCTAATGATTAATCTCTAACAGTTMCAATAAAATCCATCGAGTGGTTCATGAAATATTTTGCTAACAGAGCGACAAGCAACCATTTTTGCATGGTACTGCATTTAATCAATGCAACTTGTATTTTTAAGCTCCACCAAAAAAACAAACAAAAAAAAAAACACTCATTTACATTAAAATTGTTGCTCTGATTTGGATCAACCACAGAATTTGAATTAATGCTCTTGTGTCCTTTCCTTCCCTTTTTAAATGTAATGATGAAGCTACAGGAACACATTTCAGCTTCTTTTCAGTAGTGATAGGGAGATCTGACTTTTGGTTTTTGTATCTTTAATCTTTTCAAGATATTCAACTTTACTTAGAAATACGTATTTTCCCCGTAGAAACAAATTCTTCAAAACATTGTTCTTTTGAAATCTGCTTGAGCAACCATGCTGTTTTTTAAGATTGGCTACTTTTAATTTTTAGCAAACCAATCTGCTACTTTTGACTAAAGTTTTGCAACTTTTAGCAGCTTTTCTGCTACTTAGTTTTTAGCAAGGCATTTTGCTGTTTGTAGCTAAGAATCTGCCACTATTAGCAAGCTTTTAGAAACTTTTAGCTTCTAATTACTATTTTGCCCTAGACTTTTGGTGTTTTTACTTATCCTTTTGCTACTTTTAGCTTGTAGCTGTTTTGCTATAGTTTATGCTACGTTTAGCTGTCAGTTGCTCTTCTGCCACTTTTAGCAAGTGCTTTTGCAACTGTTTTTTTTTTTAGCTCTTTGCAACGTTAAGCAAGCCTTTTTGGATTTTTTTTATTCTAGTTAGCGTTTTGCCACTTTTAGCTTGCCTTTTGGCATTTGTAGCTACATATCGTTTTGTTCATTTCAGGTTGTAGCTGTTTTGCTTCATTTAGCAATCCCTATTTCCTACTTTTATCTAAGATTCTGCTACTTTTAGCCTTAAGCTGCTGTTGTGCTACTTTCAGCAAGCCCTTCTGCTACTTTTAGCTAAGGTTCTGCAAGCCTTTTGATCATTTAAACTGCTGTTTTGCTACTTTTAACAAGCCCTTCGGCTACTTTTAGCTAAGGTTCTGCAAGCCTTTTGATCATTTAAACTGCTGTTTTACTACTTTTAGCAAGCCCTTCGGCTACTTTTAGCTAAGGTTCCGCAAGCCTTTTGATCATTTAAACTGCCGTTTTACTACATTTAGCAAGCCCTTCGGCTACTTTTAGCTAAGGTTCTGCAAGCCTTTTGATCATTTAAACTGCCGTTTTACTACTTTCAGCAAGCCCTTTTGCTACTTTTAGCTAAGATTTTGCTACTGTTAGCATGCCTTTTGATTCTTTTAGCTTTAAACTGTTGTTTTGCTACTATTAGCATTCAACATTTTTTATTTTAGCTACTTTTAACATTCAGCACGTTTTTCAAATTTTAGCTGATGATTTTGCTAAAATATTTTGCATCTTTAGCTAGCTTTTTGCTAGTTTTAAGTTGCAGTTCTGTTCCTTTAAGCAAGTCCTACCTTTAGCTAAGACTCAGCTACTTTTAGACAGCCTTTTGATACTTTTAGCTACTAGTTACCACTTTGCTACTATTAACTAGCCTTCTGCTGATTTTAGCTAATGTTCTGCCTTTTTTTTTTTAGCTGTCAAGTAAAGCTGAGTTTCAGTCTTTAGAGCAGAGCCAGTCGAGCAGGATGCTTGCAGCATGAGCGCCTAGGAGGAAAAAAAAGTTTTGCGTTCCCTTCCTCCCTCTTGCGGAGCGTCCTGTCACTGGTGGAAAATGGCTGCTCGGAGCAGCTCCCTAAAGCTCGGAGAAAACTRAAAACACAAGTCCACGTTTTTAATTATTGTTTTTATAAGTCTCACTCGGCGCTTTTTTTTCCCCCCTCGCAAGAAAACCGACAACTTTGAGGACGCTTGGACTCTGAGACATGTCTCGCTGGGTGCCTTCTAAGAAGGAAAAGTATGGAGTTGGTACGTAAAGAAAACTCTCGTGGCTCCATCGCTAGTTAGCTCTCTGCTGTAAGATTGCACAAGTTTAGAGATTTTTTATTATTATTATTTAGCCAAACTTCAGGAATGCAAATGTTACGAGAGTGGAACCTTGCCCTGTAAATTGGCACGAAAAACAAAAACAAGGCTTGTGTGACTCTTTTGTGAGGAAGAGTGGATTGGGGATTGTTAGAGGCGCGCCTGTTTCCTGTGTTTTTKGGGSC